TAGGGTTTAGGGTTTCTTCTCTAGGGTCTAGGGTTTAGGGTTTAGGGTTTAGGGCTTAGGGTTTAGGGTCTAGGGTTTAGGCTTTAGGGCTTAGGGTTTAGGGCTTAGGGTGTAGCAAGAGTCTGGCCCAAGTTCGAGTTGAAGCTGATTCGTCCGAAAAGCGTCCGGCATGAAGATTCTGCCCCGCCCCTGGCAGAGGCCGCCACTTTTTGCAAGACCTTATAACCCTAAACCCTAAACCCTAAACCCTAAACGCTTAACCCTAAACCCTAAGACCTAAACCCTAAACCCTAAACCTTAAACCCTAAACCGTAAAACCCTGAACCCTTAACCCTTAACCAAACCCCAACCCTAAACCCTAAACCCTAAACCCTAAACCCTAAACCCTAAACCCTAAACCCTAAACCCTAAACCCCAAACCCCAACCCTAAACCCTGAACCCTGAACCCTAAACCCTAAACCCTAAACCCCAACCCTAAACAATAAACCCTAAACCCTAAACCCTAAACCCCAAACCCTAAGCCCTAAATCCCAACCCTAAACCCTAAACCCTAAGCCCTAAACCCTAAACCCTAAACCCTAAAACCTAAACCCTAAACCCTAAACCCTGAACCCTAAACCCAAAACCCTGAACCCTAAACCCTAAACCCAAAACCCTGAACCCTAAACCCTAAACCTTATAAACCCTGAACCCTGAACCATGAACCCTAAACCCTAAACCCTAAACCCTAAGCCCTAAACCTTATAAACCCGATTGGTGGAAGATCAGTCTCAAGAACCCTTTGAACAGCCAAACTAAGATTTCCGATCTCTGCAGAAAGAACTAAAGACCTCAGAGCCCCAAGAGCTTGAGCCTCAACCCGCTAAGAAATTGGGTTTAGGGTTGAAGGTTTTGGGTTTTGGGCTTTAAAGTTCAGGGTTTCAGGTTTAAGGTTTCAGGTCTAGGGCTTAAGGTTTAAGGTTTACAAGGGTTTAGGGTTTCATGTTTAGGGATTAAAGCTGCAGGTTAAACCCTAAACCCCTAAACCCTAAACCCTAAACCCTAAGTCCTAAACCCTAAAACCTAAACCCTAACCCTAAACCCTAAACCCTAAACCCTAAACCCTAAACCCTAAACCCTAAACCCTAAACCCTAAACCCTAAACGAAAAGGTCTTGCCTAGGAGCTGGGGATGGGCTTCTTCCCGAAGTCTGCTCCTGGCGGAATTAGGGTTGGGGGGGCTTAGGGTTTAGGGTTTTAGGGAATAGGGTTTAGGGTTTAGTGTTTAGGGTCTAGGGTTTAGGGTTGCCTTGCTGAGTTGCATTCAGTACTGCAATTTCTGTTATTATTATTTAATGGATTCGTATAGTTGGAGGTTTAAGAATAGCTACGTATACTGATTCCGGGATAGTTGGTTTATGGTGAAAATAGATAACTGGGTCATGTATCTTTAGTTGCCTTTGTCCTTCTCAATTATTCCCGAATACTACTTATTTTGGATCTTTTTTTTTTAGTTGGTGCCCTGAAGCCCGCGGAAGAGTCAGAGCATCACAGGGAATGCCGCTTGAACTGGGGCTGAGGGTTTAGGGTCTCGGGTTTAAGGATTAGGGTTTAGGGTTAGGGTTTCAAGGGCCACCTTTCGTTATCCGAGAAAAAACCCCCGATCTATGAAAACATGAACCCTAAACCCTAAACCGTACACCTCTTTTACCCTATACAACCCAAGGGCTCATATAGCAGCCCTTAGACAAATCCCGACCATTAAACCTATAGACCCTGTAAATCCGACATGCATGTCAAGCGGTAGTCAGTCCTGTTTCCATGCTGTGGACGGCCACTGCTTCCTTTGTTCCGGCTGTGCAAAACAAGTTGCACCACAAACCTAACCTCGAACTCCACCTACCGGGTGAAGACAGGGAAGATTACGCTCCATCCCCGGACAAAGAATACTTGTGCAGCTCAATGTGGTTCATGGGTGGTGCCAGCCCTCCAAGCAGCAATTCGGTGTCTAGACAGATATTCACGGTAGTTGTAAGTAAGGTTATAAGCGGAATACCTGTAGCTTCATCCCAACGTACGTGCAACCCCGCTTATAACTCCCAACGAACCCTGAGGCAGAATAGAAATACATATAGACAAATGTAAAGAAAAACAAATAAGAAAATGAAACTGCAAATTAAGAAAGAAAGATATATATATATATATATGTATACATATACACATATCTACACATAATATTCATATATATATATATATGCATGTAGATTTATACACACGGTCTTTAAAAAAGGGCAACTGCTTGTACTAGTAGGGAGAGATCTCGTTCTTGAAGTCCAAACATTGCCGCCGGTTTTAGGGTTTATCACCCAAGAAGGGTTCGTGGTACCAAAAATTCCATTACAAAACGCGACAACATATTACAAAACGCGATAACATGGACCCTCTGGGTTAGGGCTTTAAACCCTTAACCCTTAACCCTTAACCCTAAACCTGCAGCCGCAGCACCACGATCCGGGGTAGTCCCACTTCTGCCACGAGGGGCGCTCGTTGACCCAGCCTCAATGGGGGGGGGTTTCCGAAATTAGGTGTACCTTGTTGGGTCTTTATTATACAGGGTTCCTACATTTGGGACCCTAAACCCTAAACCCTAAGCCCTAAACCCTACTGGCTAAGTCAAAAGGGCTTCCAAGTCAACGTCAGACAAGGCCAGCATCTTCGAAACAGCTTAGGGCGTCCCTGTGTTTAGGGTTTAGGGTTTAGGGTTCAGGGTTCAGGGTTTAGGGTTCTGAAGAACAGCTCACCCAAACCTCAAGACAGGAACAGTGCGCGCCACCCTTACGCCCAAAAGCTCAATCTTGACTTAGTTGAGGTCGCTCTCTTCAACTCTACCCTGGCTCAATCTGGGACGCCTAAACCCCAAACCCTAAACCCTGAACCCTGAAACCCACCCAACCCGACACCTTGAAGCCTAAAAATCACTTATGCCCGAGTCTCAACTGCAGCTCTGCACCCATGTGTGGAGACTCCGAAAGCCCCCTCGCCCATCATCCCAAAGACGTCCAGAAGACTTACTTGGTTTAGAGTTTAGGGTTTAGGGTTTAGGGTTTAGGAGGTTCATGGGTGCTTATATAACCCCACTTATAAGTCGACGAAGAACCTACTTAGGGGACTTATGGGGGCTTATAAGTACAGTTATAATTGGGGTTATAGGTGTGCATGAACCTCCAAGTATCATAATCAGAAACATCCTGAGAAACAGAACAGTCAATCACGGGTCTCACAATAAGCAAAACAAGCACGAAACTATAGTTACGACGATGATCCTAATTATTCCTATGATTATCACCCTTTATGCTGACCTCGTTTTAATAACCAACACCCCCCCCCCCCCCCCCCAAATTGATTTTTGTTTCACCCCCCCCCCCCCCCCTTCCCTATTGAGGGAGGGCCGGGCTGTCCTTTAAAGACCTGAACCACCCCCGGCTCCAAGCTCCCCTCGACCGGGGTTTCTCAAAAAAGAGCCCTGGACCGGGGTTTCTTAATTGAGTGAGGGGTTCTAACTGAGTTCCGCGCTTGGGGTTTCTAAATTGAGGGGGGCGTTTAGAAAATGAGGTTAACATTTTCACTGAGGAAATACGGGAAACACAAAAGTCGCTAATAACGACACAAGGGAGTTCTTCAAACTAGGGTCCCTTTTGGGGGGGCCTTACTGTAAGGGTGCTTTACTCCATATCTAGGATGGCCCCTCAGAACCTGTGAAACATAATCTTAGAATATGACCCTCTTGAACCCCAATAAAAGATAACACGAAATCTCTCAAAGGGCCTGCCTAAATAGGACCCAAAAACGGGATTATGGAGCCTCTGAATTTAGGGGTACCTTGTTGGGGTCCTGATTATGAGGGAATCCCAGTATCTGGGCAAATTTTGGTACAGCCGCACATAAACCAACCCCTAAACCCTCTCTCTCTCTCTCACCCGTAAACCCTAAACCATAAAACCCCAACTAAACTTTAAACCCTAAACCCTGAACCCTAAACCCAAAACCCTAAACTCTAAACCCCTTAAGAATTTCCAGGGCCGGACGGCTAGGCCAGGAGCCGCCCCACGTGCTGCCCCAGTCCCAGGTCTGTGGGCAGAGCGTGCTGGGGTTTAGGGTTTAGGGCTAGGGTTTAGGGTTTAGGGCTAGGGTTTAGGGTTTAGGGTCTAGGGTCTAGGGTTTAGGGTTTAGGGTTCATTAGTTATTAGGGTTTAGGGTTCAGGTTGAGGGTTTAGGGTTTAGGGTTCTTAGGGCTAGTTAGGGTCCTGAGGGTGCCAACTGTTTCGGCTTGAGGGTTTATGGGGCGCAGGGACTCTACACGGGAGCCTTTGACTGGAGGGGCGCGGATTTCTATGTAGCGACGCTCGGTTTGAAATATTCGGAGGGATTTTCCTAAAACCTACACGTTCATTGCAACTGCCAACCCGAGAAAAACAAACAGGCCCTCATATCGATCCTGCAAATACCAACCAAACCTTGAAGCCTATGGGTGCTACTGTTGCTAAGCTCAGGTTTCTGGGGCTGAAGGGCTCCAAGATTAAGGCTTATTTCGTGCTTCGGGTCCGAAAAGTACCTAGTTATTATGTTCTTCTCCCTTGTCCTACCTAGGAGAAGGCTCCCTTCCAGGGGTCCTACCTTGGACCCTTAAGGTTGTACCCTTTGAGCAGTCTCATTCTTACTCTCTGTCGTCTTCTTATGACTGTCGCGACTTCTATCCCGTCCACATTTCGGAACATCTTCTTTTGACTGCCTCAATGGCGCGCCCTGGAAAACTGCAAGCCATGCTTCCGCCGAATACTGGCTATGCCATGGAACGGACATGAAGCTTCCGGCGCCACTATCCAGCATGGAATGGCTTAGGGCCTAGAGGAGTCTAGGTTTTGGGTTTTAGGGTACCCTGAACCCTAAACCCTAAACCCCAAACCCCAAACCCTAAACCCTAACTTTACTAGACACTGAGCCCAACATCGTGTAGATGCAACCTACTCTCCACCGATGATGCCCGCGGTGCGCAGTGTGCTCAGCTCATCGTCGCTGAGCTGCAGCTTCTCTTGCAGCACCTGTGGGGTTTAGGGTAGGGTTTAGGGTTTAGGACTTCGGGTTTCGGGGCACATGGGGCTTGGACGGCGAGCTCAACAGGCGGGGTTTGAGTCGTAGGGAAGTTCACGGATGCCCGTTCGGCTAGTATTTCAGGTTGGGATGTTCCCCCCTTATATGGGTTTTGTACAAACTCCAAAAATTGCTTAGGAAAGAAGCCTCCCAAACAATTTGCCAAGGGAGAGAGCCAAGAACAAGGAGTGATGAATAAGAAGGCCTGCAAACCCTAACCCCTGAACCCCCAACCCCCAATTCCCGCTTGTAGAATGTGTCCAAAATTCGCCAAATTGTTGGGTGGGGGGGGGGGAACAGATACGAACCCGGGCGCACCATCAAAACCCTCACCCTTTTGCCGCAGGACACTCTTACGTGCGTTATAAGCCCTCACCCTAAACCCGAAGCCCTAAGCCTATCTTGGGCCCAGAGGCTCCAGTTCAGGACTTCAGGTCAGACCCTTGATCCAAAAGTCTGACACAAGTGCCAAACCCCTCCTTCTGAGGGACTGCAGGGCAGTTATACCCTAAACCCTAAACCCTAAACCTTAAACCCTAAACCCTAAACCCTAAACCCTAAACCCTAAACCTGCCTAGGGTTCTTAATGGAGGGGGGTTCATGGGGGGTAGGTACCTTGGGAAGCCTTTAGGGAGCCTTGGGGGTAGTAGGGAATATTGGGGAACCTTGGGTTTGAACCCCCTTCTCTTCAGGACCCTAAACCCTAAACCCTAAACCCTAAACCCTAAACCCTAAACCCTAAACCCTAAACCCTAAACCCTAAACCCTAATCCCTTAAGAACCCTATAAAGGCAATGAGGCCTCTGTGGTGTGCTGTCCCAAACGAGGTCCACCGGCCGCGGTGCTTCCGGGTGATGCGGACAGCTTGGGCCTCTGATGACTTCTGCTGGTTTCTTAGGGTTTAGGGTTTAGGGTTTAGGGTTTAGGAGGGTTTAGGAGGGTTTAGGGTTTGGGGTTTAGGGTTTGAAGTTTAGGGTTTAGGGTTTAAGGGTGTCGGGCTTCGGGTTTGGGGTTTAGGGTTTAGGGCATGACCCATGACTATGGGCCCTAACTTGGGGAACCCTTAGTATGCCCCTTGCATGCCCTATGAAAACCCAAGGACCTATGCTTCAGAATCCTGCCACGCTAGAACGAAGATTTCAAATTAAGAAATACTTCAGAGTGAACTTACTAGTTAATTAAGTATTTATCAAAAAATGAAGTACTGATTAGGTAGTATAGCTAATGAAAGGTAGTAGTACAGACTAATAAAGGAAGGTTTGGGGTTTAGTGGGCTTTGGGGTGTCGGGATTGGGATTTAGGGTTTCTTTGGGGGGTTGTTTAGGGCTTGGGGTTAAGGGTTTTGGGTTTGGGATTTAGGGTTTTTCTGTTTGGGGTTTCGGGCTTTTGTTTGCCACCCCCCACGCACTTTCGCAGCTTTGGGGCTTCTGCAAGTTTAAGGTCTGGGATTTAGGGTCGAGGGTGTTCAGGGTTATATACAGAGACCTTGTGTAAGGTTCAACGGTCAACTCTAGATGCAACCCCAAGGTCTCCACCCGCCCCTGCAATGAGCCCGCTACTGCCGCGACCGACAGCCGCCAACCCTGAACCCGAAGCTTGGGGTTTAGGGTTTAGGGTTTAGGGTTTAGGGTTTAGGGTTTAGGGTTTAGGGTTTAGGGTTTAGGGTTTAGGGTTTAGGAACACTTAAACACACCAAATGCCCGGAACACAAGATAGCCGATCAGATAGCCTGTTCACCTCCAGATGCCCTTAACCTAAACACCCCAAACATCCCCCAAAGGCCTACAGACCCGAAAATTTCCCCAGATGCCACTAAGTGGTCGACCCGATCGAAGGTACTTTCACCGCGCGCCCGTCCGGCAGGTGCACGTCCTGCACCGAGGAGGGGGGGAGGGGGGGGTCAGGGTTTGTTTTTGGCTTAGGGTTTAGGGTTTAGGGTTTGGGGTTTTTATTCGCTCCCAGTTTAGGGTTTAGGGTTTAGGGTTTAGGGTTTAGGGGTTTTAGGGTTTAGGGTTTAGGGATGTTTAGTGTTCGGGAACCGGGAGGCCCCCACGTCCAAGGCCGCCTTGCCCTCAGGGCCCATGTACCTATCTAGTATATACTTGGGCCCCCAGGGCTACTATTTTGGAAACCCTTTAAGGCCCAAGTATATGCCATATAGTTGCATGGGCCCCTACTTGGAGGTTCATGGTACTTACTAACCCAAAGCGAACTGTACGAGCGGCTTCATTTATGACCACATTAGGGCACTTAAGGGGCAAACAAATGGGCTATAAGTACAGTTACAAGTGGCTGATAAGCGCCCAGAATCTCCAAGTAGGGCTGCCAGGGGGCAACTCATACCCCAAACCCTAAACCTTAAAACCCCATGTAAGGTTCTCCCGGATGTTCCGGGCGTCCTTGGGGGGACCCTAAAACCTAAACCCTTCAACCCTATACTGCCCTAAACCCTAAACCCTAAACCCTAAACCCTGTGAAAGCCTTAACTGGGAACCCCTGACTTTAAAAAGGCTCCGCCCCAAAACCTTCTGAGAAGCTTCTTAGTAACACAGAAGGAACAACCTTGGGTAGTTACATGGTCCCTTCATACGGGCCCTTAGAAAGGGCCCCTTATATACATGAAACTACCTCAGAAACAAGAGTATCCCGGGGGCCTCCCGAGCATTGAGCCTGAGATAACCAGGATCCTGTAACCTCAAGTACTTCCGCTGAAACGAAAAGAGCTAAGTCCTAAACCCTAAACCCTAAACCCTGAACCCCAAACCCTAAACCCTCAACTTAAAGCCCCAAACCTGAATCCTCGATCCTGGGTCGTGCCCCCCAACCCTGCACTCCTCGAAGCAGCCGCGCGCTTGGAAATGCTCATCCTCCATGATGTCCTTTTGCGCAGCGCTAGGGGTTTAGGGTTTAGGGTTTAGGGTAAGGGGTTAGGGTCGAGGGTTGAGGCTTCGGGTTGAGGGTGTTATAGGAATATGGGCCATGGCCGCACGAAATTTTGCTCTCGTGTCGCTCTGAACTCTTGGAGAGCGCGAAGTTGAGGTGATGGGAAATTCCTTCCTTCTATGTTAAACCCCGCTGCCTCCTCGTCACTCCCATTAAAATCATTATAGGTCTACTAGTCACTTAGTGTGTATCTCGGAGATTTGATATTAGGGGTATGGGATGGGTTTAACATGAGGGTGATGGGTGCTTGGGAAGCGTGCCGTGCAGCGAGCAGCGCTCAAAGCCAGGGAAGTTGCAAAGCGGTCTAGAAGTCTTACGGTCCGCACTAAACCCTAAACCCTAAACCCTAAACCCTAAACCCTAAACCCGTAAAGGAGGTAAGGGACCATTTTTTGCGAATGGATTCTTCGGCCTTCGGCTAGGTCTTTGTCTACTTGGAGGCTCATGGGCACTTATACCCTAAACCCTAAACCCTAAACCCTAAACCCTAAACCCACAGCGATAACCGTACTTATAAGCCCCCTAAGTAGGTTATAAGTAGACTTCTAAGTGGGGTTGTAAGTACCCATGAACCTCCGAGTAAGCCCTTGACCTCAAAACCCCAAAACCTTAAACCCAAACACCCTGAGCCCCAAAGCTTGAGACCCCTTCTACCCACAGCCCTTAATCGGAATTCTAGTACCCCTAAACCCTAAACCCTAAACCCTGAACCCTAAACCCTGACAAGTATCGTCATCAACCCTAAAACCCTGCACGTCATGGTTTCAGGGAGAAGTCCTTGATGGAGTAGATGGGGCCACAGGGCACGGCCGCCTCTTTGCAGGCGGCCTGAACCTGAAAAGCAGCCCTAAACCCTAAACCCTAAACCCTAAACCCTAAACCCTAAGCCAGCAACCCTAAAAAGGGGTTGAAGATAAGTCCTGAGCTACGGGGAGCCCAAACACGGGTTTTTTCCAAAAGAGCCCCTATGCCTTGTGCGAAAACGCCTATGGTCCATGAGTTTACGCGGTGTGGGTGGCCTGTTCCTCCACGGAAAAGCTGGCGGGGCACCCCCCCCTAACCCCCCCCCCCCCCCCCCCCCCTACGGGGATGAACGGCCCCGACTCTGCGACCGCAAAGCCCTTTGCCTACGCCGGAACCGTCCCCTTCCCTCACGTCGCATGGGCTGGGATGTTCCGCTTATACTAACTTAGGGTTTAGGGTTTAGGGTTTAGGGTTTAGGGTTTAAGGTTCAGTGTTTATAGGCCTAGGGCTTTGGGTTTCGTCAAGACTTAGGACATGCATGAAGGTTCATGGCTCGCCCATGAGCGCCAGAGGCCTAAGCCCTTAAACCCTAAACCCTAACCTAGACCCTAGACCCTAGACCCTAGACCCTAAACCCTAAACCCTAAACCCTAAACCCTAAACCCTAAACCCTAAACCTAACCCTAAACCAAGCCCTGCACCCCTACACGTTCTGAAAGCCCTGAGCCCCAACAAAAGCCCTAAACACGAGCCTTCATGTGGGTTAACCCCCCCGCCCCAACCCAAAAAAAAATCAAGAAAGAGGCTATGGGTACCCACTACTGTACTCCTTGAAATACGAATTCCCTAAAAAGGGTCCCCCTAGTTCATGGAAATCCCCATGTAGGGTGCTCGGAGTGAGCCAAGCAAGCCGAGCTTCAGAAATGGTTTGAAGGGTTTAGGGTTTAGGGTTTTAGGGGTTTCGGGTTTTGAACTCCAAGTGCACTTGAAGGTTTAATGGCTTGCGGGCACTTACGAGTCGTTGGAGTACACCTTGCCCCGAACTGAACCCCAAAGTAACAGAGGGTTTAGGGTTTAGGAACCCTAAACCCTAAACCCACCAGTCGTTCCCGAGTGCCCAAGGTGCTTTTGTCAGGTTCTCTGATCTACTCCAGTCCCAACCCTGAAAAAGGAAAAAGAGCCTACTCCCGGTCCTAGATTACTAAACCCTCAGCCCCAAACCCTCAAGGCCCTAAACCCTAAGCCAAAAAGAAAATTAATCTAGGAAACTCTCATGGAAACTTGTGTTTTTGCGGCAGCCCGCGTGCCCAAAAAAACCCAGGCCCTTTGCTGCGTAGGTCTCCATACCACTGCCGGCTGCGACGAGCCTTTGCTTTCAGAAGTCCCTAGTCCCAGAACTGCCAGCTACGCGAGACCCTATGTAACCCCCCTCCGATTTGCCACTAAAGTCCTATGAAAGACAGCCAGCTTATGAACTCAAACGAAAGACAACCAGCTTCAACGCCCCAAACCCTAAACCCTAAACCCTAAACCCTAAACCCTAAACCCTAAACCCCAGACTTCAGTTTGGCGACCTCGGCTGCCGTCTTACTCCGGGTCCACGCGATGATGGCTTCATCGAGGAGGTCCTCTCAGGTGGATCGGCCCAAGGTCTGCGGTTTTAGGCTCCCTAAACCCAAAACCCTAAACCCTAAACCCTAAACCATTTTTTTAAACCCAGACTCTGCAGCCACGCGCAAACGAGCTCCACTCAATGTGCAACATGGAAGTCCATGCTCCCTAAACCCTTTTGCATCCAGGCCTCTTCGAACGCTGCCGGGCAAGTCACACCAACTAAGACACTGGGACACTGAGGCGGAGGCAAGTTACAGCACTGGCTGACTGTCACTCACCCACGCAAGAACTAATGTCTCGCACACGCCCATCCGAAATAACATCAACCATAAAGATGACTCGAAAGGTTACAAACATGGAAGCATGAAGAGCATGCCAAGCGTGAATATGGGTTTCCCATACCACCTGACTCGTGGACACCATGACAGCCAAAAAACCATACTGCATTCTGCAATGGCCGAGCAGGTTCTGACTTTCGGGCAGCAACCTCTCAGCAGACACAGACAACCTACTAACCCCTTCCTCAGGATCAATCCAAGCAAAACGTAAGCCAACCCCAGCAACAGCCATCACGGTGCACGAGAACAGCCAAGGCACTCTGTAGCAGACTATACTTCCAGTGGGGCCACTGCAAAAGCATGGGCTTCCGCCCTGGCCACCTCGTGGAAGTATCGACTACCCCTGGCCTTCCACTGGACTCGATCAGCCGCTGCTGCCACTACGTCCATCGTAGTCATGTGTGCTTCATCATACGCTGACCGAGCTGCCTGTTGGATCCACTTCAAGGGAGTGTTTGGGAACCTCCTTGAGGTCTGCTCTTGTACTCAAAGGACAGCAGAATTCTGCGGGTGACATGGGTTTCGGGCTTCCTGAACAGGTGCCCCACATAGCCCCAGAAGCCAAGCCTCCAGATAGTCGGCCAGGCACACTGAATTTTATGCGCCAGCAGGAGATGCACAATGCGTCTCCGCACTCTCTGCAGGGCATGCGCCACCTCATCCTTCACGGATGCGGGCACGAACAAGTGCAACACAGCAAGCAACAAAGTGACCTGCAGCACCAAGAGTTCCTGAACATGGTTCATCGAGGGGATCATGAGGGGAGCCATCCAGAACCATCTGGAACCCATGTATTTATTGACCAAGTGCACAGCAAGATCAGGCTCACCCCATCTCAAACCTGTGAGGACAGGTTTCATACTGGCAAAGCCATGACAAGCAGCCTTTCGCATGTATGGTGCTAGGACGGTATATGTAGACTCTCCCACCTTGAGATGTCTCAGGGGCTTACGCAAATAAGACGTTTCACTGCTCCAGGAGATCTTGGCCAGGACATGTTCTGGGTGTATATCACGCAGCTTGCCCTGGCAAAGAGTCGCGTCCGCAGCAAACAACTGGGTTTTACGCAAGTTGAACCGCAGCCCGATCTGTAGCAGGGCCGCCTCCATGCGCGGCAGAAGTGTCTCAGCCAGCGAACAAGTGTCATACCGCTCCCTAAACCCTAAACCCTAAATCCTAAAGAGAGATTTTTTGTTTGGGGTTTAGGGTTTAGAGGCTAGGGCTCAGTTTGGGGTGCTGTAGTTGAGTCGGCTAAAGGCTTCGGTTCAGAGTGTCAGGGTTGAGTTTAGGGCTTAGGTCGCATGGAGATTGAGCTTTAGGACTAGTCGAGTGGATGTGCGACGCGAAGATGCAGGTGGCAGGAGCGATATGGAGATGGATGCCATGTCGAGGTACGAGTACCCGCGGGACTGCAAGTCATGTTTGTGACAGAGTGCAGGATTTTGCTGCCTTACTTGCTGTAGTCTAAACCCTAAACCCTAAACCCTAAACCCTAAACCCTAGACCCTAAACCCTAAACCCTAAACCCTAAACCCTAAACCTTATAACCCTAAACCCTAAACCCTAAACCCCAAGCCCTCCACCCTCGGCTCTGACCCCCGAACTCCCTGTAACCTCCAATTGGGTTTCGGGGACTACGAGAGGCATTGCCGTGGGTGGCGCGCCGCGTTGAGCATGCTTCCCTTGAAGGAAACACAGGTCTAGGGGCCTGTAGGATCTAGACCCGAAACCCTAAACCCTAAACCCTAAACCCTAAACCCTAAACCCTAACCCCTAACCCCTAACCCCTAAACCCTAACCCTAAACACTGAACCCTAAACCCTAAACCAGCAGGAAAATTCCTTGCTTTCGCCCCTTGGAGTGTCGTGGTGTCCTGATGCTCGCACCTTCCCGCGTTGTTCGCGAAGCGAGGGTCCTCACTAGGGTTTAGGGTTTAGGGTTTGGGGTTTATTGAGATTATTTCGGGTTCAGGTCCGGGGAAGTTTCGAGGAGTTTCGAGGAAAGTTTCAAGGGAAGTCTCTTTTTTCTGTTAACTCGTGAATAATTTCAAGTTACAGGGGCTTGAGGGTCTAGGCTTCCTAAACCCTAAACCCTAAACCCTAACGGTTTAGGGTTAATGGCAAGTTCTGGGCGGGGCCATTTTGTCTTCGGGGCACCCCCAGGAAAAGGAGCGTAATGAAGAAGCCTCCCTAAACCCTAAACCCTAAACCCTAAACCCTAAACCCTATAAACTAGGGCCATCAGCAAAGGGACCTTATGGCTACACATGCGATCTCATGAGCCTTCAGACCAGGGCTAAACCCCAAAACGTCACTAGTTTCCCAAGTTCGCATCCCCTTCTGGGATCCCTTGTTAAAGAGTGCCACCTTAGAAATGGGTAAGTACCCGAGAACGGACCATAATTTAGGGAACTACTCATAAACCTTTTGAGCCTTGGGGGGACTTGGGGCTTCATAGTTCTTGCAGGGCTTACAGGGTTCAGGAGCAGACGTTTGCCCATTGTTTTGTTTTAGATACGGATGAAAGCATTGCCGGGGGGGTTACTGCTTAGTGGGCTTTCAGGGCTATTTCCCCGAACCCCAAACGTTTACCCTAAACCCTAAAGCGCCAGAACTCCTTGACCCTCACGCTCTTAGCGGTTGGGGTCTTGAGCTGACGATGTCTCAGGATCGTTTCTGCTTCTGACATTGGTTTAATATGATGGGTTTTTTAACGTTAAAAAACCCTAAATGCGGCAAAATTTAGGGTTTTTTGACGTTAAAAAAACCCTAAATGCGGCAAAATCTTGGACACCCGTTAGAGGACAAATCGCGCTGCCACACCGAATTTCCAACTTCTCCTCCCAGCGTAACGTGTTGGAGCTCCCCACGCATCCGCGGTACTCAGCGGCCCCTGCCCCTAAACCCTAAACCCTAAACCCTAAACCCTAAACCCTAAACCCTACTTAAAGGTTCAGGGGACTTAGTAAGTGGGGTTATAAGTAAGGTAACTATACTTAGAGCTACTTATAACCCCAATTACGGTAATTTACATCCCTACTTACTAAGTGCCCCGATCCTCCAAGTAGACCCTACACCCTAAACAGTTCGCAAGGCTCCGTTCCGGGACCCTCGCAACCCATGCTTGCCCTTCGCATCGCCACAAAATTTGTTTGGGGCCTCGCTTTGTAATAAAGTGAACGAGGGATTTAGATGGAGCTGAGCCACTTTAATTTCTTGGATTCTGGGGGCTCTTTTTTGTTGATTTTGTCTTTTTATGGGCTTGAAAGTTGGAAATTCAATCTTTAGGTTTGAAGTAAAACATGGAAACACTCAAAAGTTGTCAATCGGGTTTGGCGCCTACATGTCGGAGTGCTGGAAGCAGGCCGCGAGGTTTCCAAGTCTTTGGCGGTTTAGAGTTTCTGGTTCCTCAAAGACGCGTGCCTCAAAAGGACACTCGTCTAGAACACCCCCCAACTGGCGGGGGGGGGGGGGGGGATTCGGTTTTGAAATTGAGGGTTTGAATACTGTGGAGTTCTTGGGCCTCGCAAGCGTCTCGTACGGCTTACCGCAGTGTCCACCACAGTGGGCACCAGGTCCTACGACGCATTGGGCAGCAAAAGGCGCTAAGCAGTGGGTACTGCGATGCGGACGAACTGATTGCAGGAAAAGCTTGGAGCTCGCGTTGACAGAAGATTTGTGGCATGATGATACGATGCCAAGCGGACTAAGCACGAGAAGGGTACAGCAAATGTCTAGGCAAGCGGCTGTAGTGTTCTCAAGCATAACATCTGCGGCCCAACATAGCACAAGGCCGGCTGACAAATGATGCCGTATATGCCCAAGCTTCCGTCCATCGCGGCTTGCACAGGCTGCTGCTTTCAAAATGCGTTATGAGAAGATTTCGTTTGTTTCATTCATACTTTCAGGAAAAGCTTTCAAGCTGATTTGTGCAGCTTTGGGAGCATCCGAAAAAAGGCGTGCGCCCACGCAGACATGGCGAGCACGGAGCCAGATGCGACTTGGAGCTGACTGGAAAATCACGCAGGCATACTAAGTAGCCACAAAGGTTGTAGTGGATGATCCTTTATGTGAGGGTATTGCAGGCTACTCGTGCTAGGAACCCTAAACCCTAAACCCTTTGAACTTTGAACCCAAACCCTAAACCCTTTTTCCACCCTTAACCCTAAACCCTGAGAGTTTATGGACTCCTCAACCAACCCCCAAGACCCTAAACCGCGCCGCAACCAGGGCCTCTCCTGGCCGAGCTCCTGCCGGCCCATGACCTTGAGGGTTCAGGGTTTAGGGGTTTAGGGGTTTAGGGGTTTAGGGGTTAGGGGTTTAGGGGTTTAGGGGTTTAGGGGTTTAGGGGTTTAGGGGTTTAGGGGTTTAGGGGTTTAGGGGTTTAGGGGTTTAGGGGTTTAGGTGTTTAGGGGTTTAGGGGTTTAGGGGTTTAGGGGTTTAGGGGTTTAGGGGTTTAGGGGTTTAGGGGTTTAGGGGTTTAGGGGTTTAGGGGTTTAGGGGTTTAGGGGTTTAGGGGTTTAGGGGTTTAGGGGTTTAGGGGTTTAGGGGCTTAGGGGTTTAGGGGTTTAGGGGTTTAGGGGTCCAGGGTGTTTAGTCTTTGCCACCGGGCCTGGCTGCGTGTTAGGGGGTGTAGGGTTAGATGGGCAGCTACAAAAGGCACTTGATGCACAAGGACAGAGCTATCGACCCCATGCCCACAGTGAGGAACAAGAAAAAATTAACATCCCTGTCGTGGGGCTAGGTTGCCCAGCAACCTAGGATTGCATGGGGTAGGGTTTAGGGGGGTTTAGGGGTTTAGGGGTTCAGGGGTTTAGGCGGGGTTTAGGGGTTTTTAGGGGTTTAGGGGTTAGGGTTTAGGGTTTAGGGTTACTAAGTGCATCCGTCAGGGTCTGTTCGAGGGATTCTTTCATGAGGGAAGCCCGAAAAGGAGGGCCTCCAAGAACACTGTGTCAGGATGTCCCGAAGGAGCAAGAAACGGTTTCCGTTTTAGGCTTTAGGCTTTAGGCTTTAGGCTTTAGGGTTTATATAGGGTTTAGGGTTTAGCGTTTAGGATTTAGACAAAAGGCTTTAGGGTTTGCCCGTCAAGACATCCTGAGCCTCCCCTGCCAACAGCAACCCCTTGGCTTGCTGGACCCTAAACCCTAAACCCTAAACCCGAAACCCTAAACCCTTGAGTCTCTTGGGGCCCAGGCCCGAGCATCCTGAACAAAAGGGCTTCTGCAAGAGGTTTCGAACCCTGAGTCCTCAAACCCGTCGCAGCCGGATTCAACCCAAAACTCCAAACTCTTGTTGTCTGCAGCAGGCTCGGAGGAGGTTCCACACCTAGACCCTGAACCCCGAATCTGTCCCCCCCCACACCTCCGGTAACCTTGCACTCCTAGCAAGCCCTAAACCCTAAACCCTAAACCCTAAACCCTGAACCCTAAACCCTAAACCCTAAACCCTAAACCCTAAACCCTAAACCCTAAACCCTAAGCCCTAAACCCTGCACTCCTACCGGGCCCCAGGCTGCCATGAGCCGTTTGAAGAGGGAGTCGCCGTTGGCCCCGATGATCATGAAGCTACCATCCTCAGGGTTTAGGGTTTAGGGTTAGCCCTAGACCCTAAACCCTAAACCCTAAACCATAAACCCTAAACCCTAAACCCTAAACCCTAAACCCTAAACCCTAAACCCTAAACCCTAACCCTAAACCCTAAACCCTAAATGGGGCGTAGGGGCCTGCTGGAACTTCTGGGGTTTGATAGGGCTCGAGGGGTTCATGGGGTAGAAGTGCTTCGTGGTCAGGATGCCTGCTGTGGTCAAGATGTCTGCTTGAGGGTTTAGGATTCAGGAATATTGGGTAAATCAGATTAAGGACTCCCTATATATAAAAATGTATGTTGCTTAGTTCAGGGGCTTTTTTTGGCTCTCTGGGAACCATTCCCTGCTAAGAACCGGGGAGCCTTTGGCCGTTTAGGCCGTATGATGTAACTATTCGAGGATGGCGCCTTAAAACCCTTCGTAAAAAAAATGGCCTCAATATCATCTTTCTCAACCCCATCAGGGAAAAGATGAAATATCCCCAAGGGCCTACGTAGCTAGATAGGGTTTAGGGTTTAGGGTTTAGGGTCGGTTTAGGGCTTAGGGCTTGGGGCTTTCGGGCTTCGGGCTTCGGGTTTAGGGTTCTATATGCTGTGTTGGGCAGCTCCTCGAGCTTGGCGGGACGGGTGAGGGTCATTTCGTCAAGGTAAACCACAGCGTGTACGAAGCTCGCAGCAGCTCAAAACCCTAAGCCCTCACTAAAACCAACCCTGTATAAACCCTTTGAAACCCAAAACTCTGCGAACCCTAAACCCTCTAAGCCCTCGCAACCAGCCTACAAATCTCTGAAAAAAAAACTCTCCTCCCCACAATCGCTCGACCCGGCCTTGCAAGGGTATGTGCCCGTGGGCACGATCCCCGTCAGGGAAGACCCAGACCTCGTCCAGTCCAAGTCTCTTGCGCAAATTCCAAAACAAACGCTTAGGGCTTAGTGTTTCGGGTGTAGGGTTTAGGGCTCTACTTGCAAAGCGACACCAACACATGAGTACGTTCTACCGGACGCACCTGACCGGAGGCTTGGTTTGGATCCTTTGCGGACTTACCTGCAGGTGGACCATCTGCGGGATTCTTGGGATCTTGTGTTGACGGCCACGCCAATTTGGGGTGGGGGGGGGGGGTGTTGTTGATGACACTCTGCCGGATTCTTTGCAGGACTTTCTGGAGGGAGCGACTGTGGGGTCTCTGGGATGCTTTGGGATTCTCTTGGGATTCTCGTGGGAGGCGAGGAGCGAAGAAGACCAGCGAGAACAGCCGAGGTGAATCCGACAACCCCGCACCGAGGGTGGGAGACAGGGATCAGTGCGAATGCCCCAAACCCACTAACCCTGAACCCTGAGCCATGAACCCTGAACCCTAGCCCTAAACCCTAAACCCTAAACCCTAAACCCTAAACCCCACACCCGAAAACCCTTTTTCGCGTCAACTTTTCCCAGCTCTGCAGGGCTCCGGCGGCTCCCGGATCGCGCCGGCGTAGTCGTACTCAGGAACACAGGCCTGCGAAGGTGGGCTAGGGTTTAGGGTTTAGGGTTTGGGGTTTAGGGTTTAGGGTTTAGAGTTTAGGGTTTAGGGTTGAGAGTGTAGGGTTTAGGGTTGAGGGTGTAGGGTTTAGGGTTGAGGGTTTAGAAGGGCCTGTTTGCGGCTTGAAGTTGACAGGGTTAGAGTTGATTTGGCATTTAGGGCTGGGGAGGGCTTGGAATAGGGTTTAGGGTTTAGGCTTAAGCTTTGCTTGGGGTCGCGAGTTGAAAGGGTTTGCAGGGCTCGGGGCTGTTAGGCTTCCAGTGTTTATTGAGGGTTTCCAAGTTGAGGCTGTTTGGGTTTAGGGTTTAGGGTTTCGGGTTTAGGGTTTAGGGTTTGGGGTTCAAGGTTTTTTTTCACTCCTGCACAGCTGGGGCGAATCCACATCGCAGAGGGTTTAGGGTTTAGGGTTTAGGGTTTAGGGCTTAGGGCTTAGGGCTTAGGGCTTAGGGCATAGGCTTGGGGTTGATTGGGAAAATTTAGGGCTTGGGGCTCGAGAGCTCTTGACGACTCTGGGGTGTCGCTTAGGGGTAGCTAGGCGCTGAGAGCTCTACTTGGGTGGTGGGGTCTGTGTTACCCTAAACCCTAAACCCTAAACCCTAAACCCTAAACCCTAAACCCTAAACTCTAAGCCCTACATACACTATACGCTAACAAGTTTAAGTAGGGTAAGGTGTACCACATGCGCAATGGAGGAATTACGCTACTAGTGCATTCTACTTCTACTTCTACTTCTACTTCTACTTCTACTTCTACTTCTACTTCTACTTCTACTTCTACTTCTACTTCTACTTCTACTTCTACTTCTACTTCTACTTCTACGCAGCCTCCAACAGGCCAAAGACACTCTCCGTGATGGAAGAGTCGACGTCCTGACTTCTGGGTCCCGTGATGTTTTCTGGTTTAGGGGCTATTTGAGGGCTACGTAGGTATTTAGGGACTATTTAAGGTCTATGTAGGGATTATATAGGGTCCGTCTGCCCCTTGACCCCAGCAACTTAGGGAACCGTAAATGATAAATATGGACCCCTATGGACCCTCTGTTTTTGAAACGCCCTTTTGCTTTTCGGGTTGGTATAAAGGGATCCGAACTTCCACATCCAGGGCATCGTAGAGACACAACCTGACTGGCGTGCAAGGACACGTGGCAGACCTAATTGAGCGTATTGCCTCCCACTAGGCCTGCAAAGACAAATGGCCGAACCATGGCTTCGTTTCAGTCTCGTAGCAAAGATAGCCTTGAGCCCCTTAACCCGCAACCCTGAAAAAGCCAGGAAGCCGGTATGAGGAAACCCGGGTTTAGGGTTTAAGGTCTTTTTTGCAGGGCACCATCTTGGTGGTGGGTTTAAGGGTTTAGGGTTTGGAGGAGTTTCTCTGAAACAATGTCCCGTTTCGGGTACCCTCAAAGAGAAGTGGCCATATGCTTGATGGAGATGTCTCTCCTTGATCATATTTGATGACGATTGATGATTCTTGGTCGTGTGGCCTTTGTTGATGGGTATCCCCAAGACACAGCGAAGTTTCGTTCTGTCTCCTCCCAGAGAGCTGCACCTGCTCTCTCTTCCCTATTTTGGGTTTAGGGCTTAGGGTCTAAGGTTTCGGGTTTAAGTTCAGAGGGCTGCGCATGCTGTAGTTCCAACCCCTGAAAGCCGAAACAGAGTTCCTCTCCAAAAGTGCGCAAAAGCCCCCAAACTCAAACCGACCCTGACAATCCCCAGAACGAACCCCGAAAGAGGGTTGACCGGCCCGCCTGGCCCAAAGCAAAGGGCACCCCTTCGGAGAGCTGTCCTCAGACAGGTCTGCAATCTTGTTCCCAGGAAAAAATGGAAGATTGAAGGTGTTGCATGCAACGTTTGAGACGTAGGGCGTGCTTGGGCCTTCAAAAAGAAAGAAACCCTCCCGCGCGCTGCCTGAGACTCAAGCTTGAAAATCACAGTCCTTGGCGGAACCTCTAGGACGCGAGAATGCATGTCTGCAGCGATGACTTGTGTGTTGCATGCAGGGCTTTGGAGCAGGGCCCGAGCCGCTAAACACCCGTAAGCCCTTCACCTCGGCTTGTTTTTTTCGCAACGTCCCGAGGTACTGACGACTCCTATGCCTATGTCGCATCACTCGCGATCAGGCGATGTAGGCCCTAAACCCTAAACCCTAGACCCTAGACCCTAAACCCTAAACCCTTCAACGTTCACCTGTCGCCCTTGATCCGAGCATGTCGCACATATTTTCAGCTGCCACACATCGCGGTAAAGAGCAGAGTTACATTGGCAAAGCCGGTATTGGCAAAAAAGGGAGTCAGTCAAGGAACCCTCTGCCGTGGATGGTCGTGGTGTGAACTTTCTGGTCTCACGAGATTAGGTGGGCCTCTGTGCTTCTATGACGCCGGGTTTAGGGCTTAGGGTTTAGGGTTTAGGGTTTAGGGTTTAGGGTTTAGGGTCTGTTCACACCAAAGAGCTGGTCCATCAAAGAGGCAGTGGTTGTCACTTGCTGCTCCAAGTGCACATGCTTACACTCCAGAAGGAAGGCTAGACGCTGCAGCTGTACTTGGAGGATCGGGGCACTTAGTAAGTAGGGATATAAGTACCTTAATTGGGGGTTATAAGCAGTTCTAAGTATAGTTACCTTACTTCTAGCACCATTTGCTAAGTCCCCTGAACCTTTACGCCTGCAGTCGGTCCCCTGCTTTCCTTCTACTGACCATGCCACAGCGGAAGCAGATCCACATATATACATAATATATATATATATATATATATATATGTATATATGTATATATGTATATATGTATATATGTATTCTTTGATCTGTCTGATTCTACATGATACATCTGAAAAAACCTTCTTGTTCTTGCCGTTCCTGAAGCACACGATCGCGCTTCAAAAATTAAGGGCCAGGAAGTGGTTGTGTTTAGGGAACTTCTCTGCAGCCGGGGCCCTTGGTTTTTTGGGATCTGGGAGATCTCGTTTGTTTAGGGCCTTAAAGGCCTTAAAAATTAGAGGGGGGTGGGTGATTAACTATTCCGACCCCTTTATTACCACATCTCAAAATCTTCGAACTAAAGCAGGTCTCACAGGGCAGGGGGCGGGTCCACCCGACTTCTCCTAAACCCTAAACCCTAAAGGCCAGACGCGCAACATCAGAGGAGCTTCCACGCTGCGGGGGGTTCCCTGTGAGATGGCGCCGGCGATGGTGCATTGCGAGTCGACCCTCGTGGTAAGCGCGTGAGCCAAGGCTGTGGCTTCGGGCTTCCGGGCTTCTGAGACTTGGGTTCTCGATTGTGCGTGCCATCCTTGGGCAGGGGTCAGGTTTAGGGTTTTGGGTTTAGAGTTTAGGGCTAGGGTTTAGGGTTTAGGGTTTAGGGTTTAGGGTTTAGGGTTTAGGGTTTAGGGTTTAGGGTTTAGGGTTTAGGGTTTAGGGTTTAGGGTTTAGGGTTTAGGGTTTAGGGGCATCTTGAGGTGAGGGTGTAGGGTTAGGGGTCCCATGCAGAGCAGGGTCGAGGGCTTTGGGGATGTCGGTCTCCCTGCAGTGCTGGAACTTCCAGACCCGCAGCTCTCTGATCGGTAGGGTTTAGGGTTTAGGGTTTGGGGTTTAGGGTTTAGGGTTTGGGGTTTAGGGTTTAGGGTTTAGGGTTTGGGGTTTAGGGTTTGGGGTGTAGGTTTTTGTTTAGGGTTTAGGGCTTTGGGGTTTAGGGTTCAGGGTTTAGGGTGAGGAGAGGCCGGCCCAGCCTGCCGGCGTTAAGGCTAGACGAGGACGTTGAGGTTGGGGTTCAGGTTGCTGGCCCTAAACCCTAAACCCTAAACGCTAAACCCAAAACCCCTTTTCCAAGAGACTTCGCGCACCTCGATGAAATTTTGGGAGCCCACCACCCTAAACCCTAAACCCTAGGCCCTAAAAGGGTTGAACCTGGAAGCTGCTTCATGCCAGGACTGAAACCCTAGACCCTTTTTGCTTCCTTGAACCCTAAACCCTAAGCCCCAAGCCCTAAACCCTAAACCCTTAACCCAAAACCTAAACCTAAACCCTGTTTCGCTTCGAGATCATGTCATGGTCGGCCGCATGTCAACATCGTCCGTTCGGCTCAGCTGTGGCCAGCCAGTCTCCATCAGGAAACTCCTGCAGGAACCCAGTTTAGGGTTTAGGGTTTAGGGTTTGGTCACCCACCAAGCAGACCAGTCACACTGCAGGGTAACACTTCGGGACAACAGGGTTTAGGGTTTCGGGTTCAAAGCTTAGGGTTTCCAAAGGTTTCACATCACCTACTGAGAAAACGAGCCGAAGACTAATCGCCTCATCTTTCACGCCACCCTAAACCCTAAACCCTAGACCCTAAACTCTAAACCCTAAACCTTAAAGCCTCCTTGCAACCAGCCGGTGAATCAGCGGGGCCTGTGCTCCCAGCATGCGCGCTTCAACTCCAACCAGTCCTATATGTGGCTGGGGGCGGCACCTCTTTTCTACTCCTGTTTTAGCCCTAAACCCTAAACCCAAAACCCAAAACCCTAAACTCTACCCCCCAAAAAACCTGAAACTCCTGGACCTGTCCTTGACGGCCCGAAGCATCTCTCTTGGCCAAATCCTCGGCTGAAAGCCACGAGGTTCGAGCCATGGGAGTTGCGCTTTTTGTCTTAAGGGCTAAGGGTTGGAAGGATTTATAGGGTTTTGAAGTTGTTTTAAGGGCTAATTAAGGGTTGGAAGGACTTTTAGGGTTTTGAAGTTGGAGGGCGCAGGGGGCACGCGCTACTTTTTGTGTGTTGAGCCAGGTTGAACTTTCACGGGGCAGGGCGTTCCAAGATTTGCTGTGTTAAAAGCCCCTCTAAAAGACTTATATTATAATGGGGCTTTAACCTACAGCATTAAAGGGGGAAAAGGCCACAATAATAGTATTACAAGGGGCTTCACGCTTCACTTCTCTTTATTCGTTCATTGTAAGCCCCTTTAATACTAATATTGTGGGGTTCACTGCGTTCACGTTCTTCATTCACGCGCATAATAAGATCTTTGTTTCGCGCGTGCACTTGTCCCACAATAATAATAGTACGAACGAAGGTAATAAAAGCACGCTTCGTTCGTAATATTATTAAGTGGGGCACTTCGTTCGTATTATTATTACGTAGAGAATTCTATTTAATTGGCATTATAATGAGTGAAACGAGTGAAACGATTGAACGAAGCATGAATGCCAATGAAATAGAAGAACGAAGTGAAGAGAGCTTCTTTAATGCATTTATAAGTGAACTAGTGAGCGCATGAAATGTATTAAAGGGGCGAACGAAACCCCCATTTCCAAGGTCTGGTTCACTGTTTCCTGGGGCTTACAATCTTAACCTTGGAAAACCCGTGATAATAGGGGAGTGAAAGTAGTGAATTAAATGAATGCATTTGTAAGGACTTTTGGGACGCACGAAATGCATGAATTTAATGAACGCAGTGAATGAGCGTGAGAAATAAGATAATAAGTGCACGAATGCAGGAAATTTTATTTGGTCTTTTACTGCGGCCCTTACAAATACTTATTATCTGGCCGCATAAATAATAGAATAATAAGATAAAGAGAACGTAGTGAGCCTGCGAACAAGTGAACGAAACTTCTAAATTAATAAAATACGGGCGTTTCACTCATTTGTATTTATTATTTAGTAAGCCCTTTTAATATATTATCTGGGCTTTTTCATCCGGGCGGCAACCATAAGCCCCTTTAAATATATTAAATTCGCTTCATTCTATTCCTGCATTAAATTCACTACTTTTAATATAATTCATTGGTCCTATAATTATACTATATTTAAATAGGAAATCCTTGCAAATATATTATAAGGGGGCCTTTAACTCTATATTTATTAAGGCCCCCACTATTATTATATTAATAAAGGGTTTATGGACGGGCCAAATACTAATAATATTAAAGGCCCGTGTTTCGTTCAATCATTCAGGCGTTTTCGTGCTTCACTTATTCATTTCTTCACCAACCCTTTAAGAACTGCATCCAAAAAGCACTGTTCCACAACCTTTTCCATCAAACCAGATCCACAGACTGATCTCACCACCCGAAAATAGGCAAAGCTCACCTCATAGAAAATCAATCCACCCACCCAAGGATATCCACACCCCTAAGTTCCCAACCTAAGTCACCATCCTAGGAATAATGCTTACATCTATCTGAGTGCTATACACTTAAAACAATAGGTCCCGCTTACACTATGCGGGTTTACGTTTGGGGTTAGGTTACTCAGCCTGAAGCATGAGATCGTCTTTTCACTGCTCCCGCTGCAAGTGCTCCTGCACCCAACGCTGGAAGTCTTTATTTGTCAACGAGAAATCTGTGCACTCGTCAAGAGTATTTGCTGGCACACCCAAGCTTCTGCACAACATTTTGATGTCCTGTATCTTGGACTCATCATATGATCCACGCGTCTGCAAGAAATCCACCCACAGCAGCTGATTTCGTGGACCGATGATCATGTTCTGGACTCGCGCGTCCCCATGCACATGACCCGCCTCATGCAGCTTGTGGAGGGTGTTCAGAATGCGTGGGACATTCTGCCGAGCAAACTCCTTGGTGACCTGCTGTCCGGCTGGCTTCATGAGAAAATACGAACCGTTCTCCACTACCTGCACTGCAGCACCGACTGGCTGAACCACTGGGAGCTTTGCCTCATATGCTTTCTGCAGAGCCCCCACTTCCAACTCAGCATCCGATTTGCTCTTCAATATCTTGAGTGCCATCTTTTGGACGCCACGCTTCACTGCGAAAAACATTCCATTGCCACCCTTGCCCAGGAAGCCGAGCATGT